TTTTTTTGTAACCCATGATAGAGTTTTTTATAATCCATGATTGAATTTTTTGTAATCCATGATCGAACTATTTTTTTCTTTTTTTGTAATCCATGATTGAATTTTTTGTTTTTTTTTGTTTGTTTTTTTTTGTAATCCATGATCGAATTTTATGTAATCCAAGATCGAATTTTATGTAATCCATGATCGAATTTTATGTAATCCATGATCGAATTTTATGTAATCCATGATTGAATTTTTTGAAAATTTGTAATTTTTTTTTTTTAATCCATGATCGAATTTTTTTTTGTAATCCATGATAGAATTTTTTGAAAATTTGTGATTTTTTTTTTAATCCATGATCGATTTTTTTGAAAATTTGTTTTTTTTTTTTTAATTCCATATTATTCAAAGAGAAAATGAGAGAGATGATGATTCTGAAGCCACCCTATCCCAGCCATATTATTTACATATCGAGTCCCAACAGCAATAGTGTCGAGATAAGCACGAAATACTGTAAATTAAATGCTGAATGGCGGTTCATGCAGGGAAAGAACATATCAATATTCGCATATTCATTCAAAAACATGAAAATTCTTAATGGAGTACCCTCATTTTGTATTGAATTCCTAAAAAATAATATTTATAATGAATTTTAATAATTTTTTCGAATTTTTTTTAAGCTTTATTCTGACCGATTCACCCGATTCCTGATCCGAATCACCGATTCGCCGATCCTAATCGATTTTTTGGAAACCAGGTCCGAGTCACCGAACCGTTTTTTAAACCATTGGTTTAAAGCGTCGGCTCTATACAAACCGCACCCCTTTCTACGAGGGAAGCTCCCTCACAGTCGGCTCCATTTAGTGCGAGGGATACGGTGGAAATGGTCCGTAGTGGCACGTGCAAGGAGTCCAATCGAGTGGCACTCAATCGTTCGTGGCCACAATAATCTGCGGTTTACAGCACACGTGTGAAAACAACTAAACTGGCAAAACTTGACACGTACAACGTAGGCGCAATCCACACGTGGCCTATGCCATACATACATACATACGTAAATGAATCACCCATGATGACGACTGTATGATAAGATCACCGTCAAAATCAATGGGCTGGAACGTTGATGGGAGGCATTAGACGCACATTGCCCGTCCATCTATTTGAGGGGGCGATGGCCTATATGGATCATATCGTACGGTGGACATACATTGTCCAATGCATGTATGGATGCATGAGATATGATGACAACGGTAGTACATGATGTGGCGTCATGAGTGGGCCATCTAGGCATGTGTAAGTATACGGATGAAAATAACTTCCCACTATCTTTCGTACGCCCACGAAATGAAAAAGCAGAGAAAATAGCCTCTTTTTATTACCAGAACACGTTTTCTCTCTCTAAAATTCTCTCTCTCTAAAAACTCAGTCACTCTCTCAAATCGCCATTATTAGGCGGGTTTTACCGTCATTGCCCACAAATTCTCTCTCTCTCTCTCTCAGGTGGTTTTATTGTTTTTCTCATTTTTGACTCCATTTTCGAAGTCGTCTTCGACGATTTTTGATCGCTCTACTGTCTGTGTTTCCGAGGGCGTAATTCCTCATTCTGCAGAGTAAGAGCAATGCTTGATTTACTTTTTTATTTTATATTCGATTAAGAATTTTAGTTTACAACTTTACATAGTACGAGTACTTAGTTTTGGGTTTTGTATTGAGAATAGATTCTCCTTTTTGATAATATCTTCGTTTTTCTGGTTTAGAAACTCGTTCTATCGCTGATTTTGCTGTCTAAGCAAACTTGGCTTTCAGTTTCATTTGATATTAATTCGCTAATTTTGATGGGTAGTTTTACTCCACTTTCTTACTATATTGTGAGTTGTTTGTGTTATTACGCTGTACGCAATTTTTTTCTGGATATGGTATTTTTTCCTGTAAAGCACAGAGTTGTTTTTTTACATTTTCTTACTATATTTTCACAATAAGAATTCAAGATTTTTTTTACTTCGAAAAAAAAATTGAATTCAAGAGTTCGAATTCAGTTATAACAAGATGTTTGTTCGATGACTTCCCTTTTATGATTCGTGTCTGTGTATTTTGCTTGTATTGTTTGAGAATCGATCCTGAAAGCATTTTCTTCATATTTTTGGGACGAATTAATTAGCTATATAGTAGCAAAATTTACTGGATACTAAACGCCCGTGTAGTGATTTCTTTTGTGTAAAGGAAGCTTCAGATGCTCTGTAAAAACATGCTTTCTGCTTCCACAGAGTATATACTACAGAGTAATCCATGGCATTTTTTTTTTTTTATCTATTTTCTTCGTACTTTTATGGGACCCTTGAGTTGCTTTTCTCCTACATTTTCCGAGAAATTAATTCCTGCGTCAGATTTGTTGTTCATCTCTGCTCTGCTATTTATAGAGGATTTTCTTACGTCCTTTTCTCTCTCATTAATTCTGATATGTTCCTCTTCGACCTATTCCTTTCTTATTCATTTCATTGGATATGGATTGAAAGGTCAATAGATTGTAAGCTCTTAATAATAATATCTCCTTGAGCATTTGTCCTTTCAATTAATGGCTTGGCTGGTTTCGATGTAGTCCTCTGCGTCAGATTCTGTGCGCTTTTCGCCATTATCGAGCGTCAAAGCTTCAATCATGGCGGTCGTCACTCGCTTTTAAGCCCTGAAGTGCACAGAGCAACTCGGGAACTGTATCTGCAGGTCTTCTCTGCAACTATATTTATTGTTATTTAACATTCCTCTCTCTTTTATTCTCCCTTCTCTCTCACCATTCTTCTCTCCCTAGAGAGAGAAACACTTGATCAAGTCAGGCTTCTTCCTCTCTACCTTTGTTTGTTTTCTCACTCTTCTCTACTTATCATCTCTTCCCTTTCTTGCATTAATCAGTTCTCTTTTTCTTAATTTATGATCTTTATCAATCCCATTCTCTCTCCTCTTTGCATTTTCTCTCTCTACTGGGAGGGATGTGATCAAGTCAGGCTTCTTTCTCTCCCGACCTTTGTTTTTTCTCACTTATCATTTACTTTCCTCTTCTCTATTTCTCTCTCTAAAACACGCCTTCAAACATTCAACTCCTCTCACTGAGTTTCTCTCTCTCAACCTCTCTGATCCTTTTTTTTATCCTGTTCCTGTTTCTCGCTCACTAATTATTTGATCCGAAATTTTCCAGGGCGTAAACGATCGTCCGATCAAGAGTTTAAATCGGAACCGTTGGATGGAGCTTCTTTAACTCGGATCAGGTTGAAGGTATATCCTCTAAGATTTGCCTTTCTTTTCCAAGCTTTTCTTTTCATGGATAAGACTCTATGAGGAGACCGCTCAATATTTCAATATACACTCTTCCTTCCCCTGTACCTTTTTCCTGTATACATTACTTTTAAGAAGACTAAATTACTTAAATAGCCCTGATCTCGGAGACAAGATGGTTGCAAGGTTGGAAATTACTTCAGGAAATGGAGCCCTTGATTGTCATTTTATGTTGGCAAAAATATGAAAATGTCATTGATTCATAACAAAGAAAGTTTTATGCTATTTCAGTTCAGTTCTCTAGGAGATTTTTTTTTAAAAAAATTGTTTTGGAAAATATATAGACCACTGGAAGAGCTTATTTTTCTTCAACTGTATTATTTTCACTTTTTTGTTTTTTGAATTCGTACTATTTTCTCTATGTCCAGTTATTCTTTTATGGAAAAAGTTTATATAAGGGTGCAACCTTATAATATAGAACTATGGATGCACCTCAAAAATCCATCGGAAAAATAGTTTTAATGTTGAAAAACCCTTTGATTGATCATGTATTTCCATGAAAAATAAAAAGATTTTAAGTTTCAAAAATAGTGCATTTTACAATATACTATCTACACTGTCCATTTTCAAGATTTTCATATGTTTATAGATATACTTGATTTTAACTATTTTTGAAATTTTAAATTTTATAATTAGATATAAAAATAGATTTTAATATAATCCTAAGAACATTTTACATCAAAATTATATACCTGATAAAATTTGAAGGTGCACCTTACTTATACAGCTACGGATGCATCCCTATACCATATGCCTGCACTTTTCTTTTATTGACAGTGCAATTTGGATAAAATATGGAAAAGCATACCGATAGGCTATTTGCCGACCCCAAATAGTTGGAAAAAAGGCTCACAATGATACAATGAGAACACTGTAGTCACACTTAATCTTGACCATTGCATATGAAATTGGATGATTGCATTTATTCTATTGACAAGTTCAAACTTCACAAAAAAAAAAAATGAACTCTGTGACACATTCAAGCTATAAGATTTCACATTGAATGGTTAAATATAATTGTGACCTCCATTTATCAAATATAAATGGTCTCATTATATACAATTCATTTTTTAAAATTTCGCTTTGCCGTGGAAAAAAATTTAAAATAAAAACGTATTAAACTGATGTAATTCTTGTCATTCCAAAGATTGTTTCTCGAATTTTTTTATTAATAGTTGGCACACTGAAATTTGACTGGAGTAATCAACCAAACTTGAAAAATCTGAGCCATGAGTATTTGTTTACTTCTCTCTCTCTCTCTCATATTTCTTATTTGTAGTTGGCATACTGAAATTTGACTGAAATATCCTCTCATATTTTTTACTTGCAGTTGGCATAATGAAATTTGACTTAAATAACCTTCTCATATTTCCTATTTGTAGTTGGCATGCTGAAATTTGACTGAAATAACCAACCAAACATATAAAATATAAGCGTGAGTATTTGGTTACAGTTCCTCTCTCTCTCTCTTGTTTTCTCCAAAGTTAAAGTGGTACATATCCTCTTTCTCTCTCTAGAGAACTGAAACAGGGAAGGAGAGGTGGTGTAGACCTTTTGATAGACTCATAAATTGGGTGGCCGTCATAAAGCTTATCTTTTGGACGTGAGGAGTGGGAATACATTTGAGGCAAAAGAGAATGGGAGAGGTAAGTTTAAAAAACCCGGCCTTTTTCCATGACTTTTGGTCTGTCTTTGCGCATTAGGATAAAGGGGTCGGTGATTTTTGCAGGAAAAGGAAATGGAAAAGAAAGAAAACAAGCAGGACAAGAAAGTCAAGTCCGAGAAAGCAATTACAGTGGTCCTTAAAGTTGATATGCACTGTGAAGGCTGTGTTAAAAAGGTTAAAGGATATCTCAAAGGAATTCAAGGTAATCTGCTGATTCATGCGCATAGAAACACATGGTATTGTGGTTGTGTGTGGTAGTCATGAGAGAGAGAGAGAGAGTGTGTGTGTGTGTGTTTTTGTGGTGTTGATAAGATGCCTGTATGTGGATGGGTTTGCAGGAATTGAAAATGTGAAGGCAGATATGGGAGAGAACAAGCTCAGTGTCACTGGAAAAGTTGACCCTGTATTGGTGTATGAGAAAGTGAAGAAGAGTGGGAAGAAAGTTGAGCTTGTCTCTCCTCTGCCTCCGAAGAACAAAGACGGGAACAAAGACGGGGACAAGAAAAGCCAGGGGGAAAACAAGGGAGCAGAGAAGGAACAGAAGCAGAAGAAAGAACAAGTAGCTTCTTCGGCGTTATTTAATTAATTCACGACACTCTTGTTTTAAATCTAGCTGAATTTCTCACATAGCTTTACCTTATTTGATGAATCCACTGAGAGCTGTTTTTTAGTCTATCCGAGTTTCACGGTTGCTCGGCCAAATTCATGGGTTACATTGTGGATTATTTTTGCTGTATTTATCTGAAATTAGTTGCCCAAAATTTTAACTGGAATATGGAGAATTTGGAAATTCAAATCCCTGGATGGTTTGGATTGTTAAGTTCACCTGAGGTCAGTGAATTCCATCCAGTTTCAAAAGAAAGTTGGATCAGTGCTTGAAACTTGCCTGTTCCAACTGATTTTTTTTCCGGCCATTATAAGGGTTGAAACTTGGATCACGTTGCGATTATAATTTTGTAAATTCTTTTTATTAGAGGAACTCAATGAATCATTTCTTTGTATTTAGCTGAGCTTCCACACAAGTTCCTCCAAAAAAAATTCCAAGTTCTTATCATTTTCTTGCCATTACAAAAGAGAAAGTTCAGACTCTTTGGTGACTTGAATTTGTTCCGCAGGTGAAGACCGTGGTGTTAAAGATTAGATTGCATTGCCAAGGCTGTGTTCAGCAGATTAAGAAGACAGTCTCCAAGATTAAAGGTAACAGAATTTCTGGATTTTTATGCTCCCTCATTATTTTTATTTTAGAAGCGCAAATTGAACTGTAATTTATGAAAATGAACTTAAATTTCTTGGAGTTATAAAAGCAGTTCTCTGAATTTTGGAGAAATTTGGTGCCGAATTTGATGGATTTGTGGCTGAGAAAGCACAGTGTATAGAAGAGGATTAGCTACAATTTTGATATTTTGTTATAAAGTTCTGCCAAAAGATTTACTACCAAAGACATCAAGGTTATGGCCATATTTACTAAGCTAAAAGATTTCCTACTCTCGCGGGACTATACTATCCATCTACTTTCTCTTGCAAAACTCGTGCAAGGAATATCTTTGGCATTGGGCCTTGGGGTACTATTGCCGATCCTCGATCCTCATGATAAGGTCTCTTACTTCATTCTCATCAAAGGCCCAAATCCCTATTGATTTATTTTTTTTTAGAATATCCTAGGCGTAGTAGCAGCATTGACGAGCTTAATGAGGTCTATGGCTCCATTCTCATTAAAGGATAGGGTTCAAATTGACGAGCTTAATGAGGTCTATGGCTCCATTCTCATTAAAGGGTAGGGTTCAAATCACCTGTAAAATACCACTTGTTGAGAATGAGATTGGGTCATGATGGTAGCACGACTTGTACTGCAGCTGTGGTCTGGCTTACTTTCTCACCTAAATCCTTGAAAAACCACTAACTAATTTCTAGATGTCCAATAACTCAAATCTAATTTCTTACTTAGGAAATAATCAGCTAATTATAATTAGATTCATTCCAAAATTTCAATTGAAAAAAAAAAAAATCTTCCCAATAAATGTATACCTAAGGGAGTAAATGTATAGTATGCTCCTGTGGGAGCATAGAGCTTCTGATTCAAGCCAAATCTTTCAGCCAATTAGGAGCTTGGATATTTGTTAATTTCCATTTGCTTTCCACTTTTAGATTATATCATTATGGATCAATTCCAAAATTATGAGAATATTAAATATTTATTTATCAACTTGCGAAGGGTAACCCGTATTTTTAAATAAATTAAAAGAAGCTCCAAATCCGAAAGAAGAGTATAATCCAATGCACTATGGTATATAGTGCTCCAAAGGTGCATGTTTACGGGCGACCGATCCTGGTTAAACTCCTCTGCTTTTTGGATTGGGTGGTATACACTACGGTGTAGATTCTGGATTCTGCTATGCTCCATCGGATTATGCTTTGGGCGGTGATACCTTATGGACAAAATTGTACCATGCTCCATTGGATTATGCATTCGATCGTAGTGCATGTATCTATGATGTCAAATGACAACTTTGCCCACTTTCGTAGTCGACCATTAATCATCTAAATAGTAAACAGACAATGACATTTAGGGATGCTTTATCCAAAAATGATAAATAGGCCCCTATAGTATAGGGTTGAGTCCGATATGCTCTTGCAGGAGTGGACAGCGTGGATCTGGACCTTCAAAAGGACAATGTCACTGTGAAGGGCACGATGGAGGCCGCCTCTTTGGAGGCGGAGCTGCGGAAAAGACTCAAAAGGGCTGTGGAGATCGTGGACCCGAAGAAGAAAGACGAGGGCAAAGAAGGAAAAGCAAAGAACAAGAAGGGGGAGATGGGAGAGGGTGAAAAAGACAACAATGCCCCTAAAGATGGAAATGCCCCTAAGAAAGACGAAAAGGTCCCGGCGTACGTGATCGAGTACATCCACCCCCCTCAGCTCTTCAGTGACGAGAACCCTAATGCCTGCTCCATTATGTGACTGGGAGGGGCTGCCCTGGATCTTTTCTTAAAATGACTGAATTACCCCTGGAAACCCTTGCCCCTTGACTCGTAGGACTATGATTTTTTTTGAGTTTCTTTTTTTGTGACAAGTGAAGGGTAGTCCGCGGGAAGCATGGAAGGCAGCTCAGCTGCAAGAGTTTAAGGGGCATTTTGGATAGCATAAGGATTGAGGGGGGTGATTTTGTCATTTTAAGAAAATAGCTGTTGGGCACAGGAAAGAGCCCCATAGTTAAGGCTCTTTTTGCCCTTCGTGTTTTTTTCTGCCTAGAGGTACGAATTGCTTGAAAGCTGCTATTTCTTTATCCCTCTTCTGTTTTTCATCAGGATCCAATCGAATGCTTTTACACGCAAACGGCTCCTGATTGGCGCGCTCTCTATATATGTGGCGCATTTCATTTCATGCAACGGTGATCCAATCGAATTCTTTTACAGTCAAACGGCTCTTGATTGGCGCTCTCTCTATATAAGTAGTAGGGCATTGATTTCATGCAACGATTGTATTATAAGTATAATGCAATTGCACTTTTTAAAAATAATGTTTGTGGTATTTGTATGATTTAAATTTTTACATACACTCTTCATTTCAATAATGAATCTAAAAAAGAAAAAGTTTCAAAAAAAGAGAGTATGATTTTAACATTAGATACGGCCAAAACGAGTTTGCCTCCAACAACGAACTTAGACAGTTTATTTGGTGAATTTTTAGATATTAGCTTTTACAAATTCAAAATTTTTTTTTTTTTCATAACATTGTTCATCTAATGATAATAAAGCCATCTAAACAAATAAGAAAAGAAAAAATCTTTTTAAGATTTAGATCTAAGCATTTTATCAAAATGGACGGTCTATATTAATTAAGCTAAAAAATATTTTATAGGGTGTGTTTTCAATTTTTTTTTTTTTTGTGATTGTTCATTAGAATGAAAAGAGTGTATTTTAAATTTTGGATCAAACAAATGGTATTAACATAGTTTTTGAAGATTATTGCATTATACTATGATACAACCATTTCTTGGATAAAATAAAATGGCTTTTGGTTTTTGAAGATTATTGCATTGTACTATGATATAACCATTGCATGAGAATGCAATGGTTGTATAGTAGTATAATGCAACCATACATTTAGAAAACCATATTTTTGGCATTTGTATAGCCCCAAATCTGACACACAAATGCTCTTCACTTTAATAATCAATCTTACGAAAAAAAATCAATTTGCACCCTAGATAAGGTCAAAATTAATACACATCCAACAATGAATTTTGACTATTCATTTAGTGAATTTCAATATCTAGGCCTTAACAAATTTCAAATTACTTTTCTTTTTTAGTATTATTAAGCTAGTGATGATAACGTTACATATAAATTTTGGGAATAAAAAATCCTTTTGAGGCCTATATTTAATCATCTCAAAAAAAGAGACGGTTTATATTAATTGGGCTAAAATGAAAACTTTTTAGAGCATTTTTTTTAAAATTTTTTTTTGTGATTGTTCTTCATAATGAAAAGAGTTAACATTTAAAGTTGTGTCAAACAAATGTCCTTAACATGGTTTTGAAGATGGTTGCATTATACTACTATACAACTGTTGCATGAAATCATTCATCTGTATATATAAAAAGAGCTTTTATTAGAAGCTTAACCTTTTGATGAAGAGAGATATTATTCGAAAGTTAAAAAAAAAAAATGTCGGAAGGAAAAAGTTCATATAGAGCTGAGGCTCTAAATAATCAAATTAAAGTCCACTTCAAAATTTTCACTAGAAGAGGTTGTATTGATGCCCAAATATCCTCAAATTGATCTTCTCGACATCAGGATGCATGGACATGAGAAAAAATAGATTTCAAGGTTTGGAAATAATGCATCTTGTAACGCATTTTTGGATCATTAATTTTTAAGATTTTCATACTTTTATAATGCATCTTGTCACGCATTTTGGGACCTTCAATTTTTAAGAGTTTCATTTTTTATAGATCTGATTGATCGATACTATTTTTTAAATTTAAAATTTTATAATTAGAGACAAAAATATATTTTAAGGTTATACGAAGATTTTCATTATTGAAACCACATTCCTTGATACTTTTTTTACTTTCATTGTTTAGAGCCTCGAGCTCTGTACAAACTGCACCCATTATATTACCATCATCTTCAAAGATTTAGAAGCTATGACAAACCTGTAACACAACACGGTTCTTATACCCCAGCACTTTTGATATCATAAAAATTCAAGTTTAGGTTAAAACAATAGGGGAAAATAAACTTCTTTTCACTAACTAAAATAACACTATATAAGCTTGGGGAATACTAAGAGTTTTAAAACCCTTTATCTCACAAGCCTCAAAAACAATTGTTTAAGTCTCATGTTTCTTTCTTTCAAAACATGCATTTCTCTCTTTATGGATATCTCACCCAAGTTTTCAAAAACGTGAGGCCCATGCATTTCTATCTTCAAGGATATCTCACCTAGAAATCCAAGATTTCATGAACGTGTGACGCCCATCTAAAAATCACCTTTTTATTTTTTTATTTTTATTTATTTATTTATCTTTAGCAAGTATCTTATGTGAGACCACTACAAATAAATTAGTTTCTTAATAAATCTTTGTGATTTTACCTCCCTTGAGCTTTGAGCTTCACAATTTTGCTTCTCTATAAACATGGGTGAAGAAAATATCTTGATATAAAAAATTTGCATCCATATCGATCTTAATTACCGTGGAACTCTATGTTTTTCTAAAACATTGTGTAATAGCATTTTGTGAATCACCTTCTATCTTAAGTAATGCCTATCCTTGACCACACAAAAAGCCTCACCTCCTATAGCAGAGCACACAAATCAGCCTCATTTGCGGTTACATTGCAAACATACCTAAATACGATAAAACCATATGATCTCTATTCAATCTTCCTATACTCCAACTATCAAGGATCATCCATCGAGCATCCATCAAAGTCAGGCTTTAAAGAGCCTTGAGAAGGTGGTACCCAAGTGCGATAAAACTTTGCGATTTATTACTCCCATCTAACCTTAGTATCTCGATTTAACTCTAGATCCACCTTCGAAACCCCTTAACAATCACTATGTGCTGCCACCCAATTGGACAAGGCATCCAATACCCTGTTGCTGATAACTGCCTCACAACTTTCCTTCAAAAACTCTTCTGCTTCTCTCTTTCCAAATCCCTCACAAAAAGTAGTCCTGAAAACTTTCCTAATGATTTCCCAATTTTTGGTAAATTGCATAGGAAAAAGTTTATATATAAGTGTGAAGCCCTAAACAATCTAATTAAGGTGCACATCAAGAATTCATTTGGAAAGTTTGTTTTAATGCTGGAAAACCAACTATTCGATCATCTTGACCTCAAGATTTATGGATATGAGAAAAAATGGATTTCAAGTGTTGGAAATAGTGTATCTTATCATGTATTATCTAGGCTGTCAACTTTCAAGTGTTTACATATATGTTTGATCTACTTTATTTTTAACTTTAAATTTTATAATTAGATATGAAAATAATTTTCATGCCATCATAAAGATTACTGAAACTGAAACAACCTATTTCAACACTATTTGAAGGTGTGGCCGTTTTTAATTGTTTAGGGCCTCGGCCTTATAAAACCTACACCTATCTATATATATATATATATATATATATA